GTAATAGAATGATAGATAGAATGATAGATAGAATGATAGATAGATAGATAGATAGATAGATAGAATGATATATAGATAGATGGATAGATAGATAGATAGAAGACAGGATAGGTAATAGAATGATAGATAGATAGATAAATAGATAGATAGATAGATAGATAGAATGATAGATAGGTAGATAGATAGATAACAGGATAGGTAATAGAATGATAGATAGATAGATAGATAGATAGATAGATAGATAGATAGATAGATAGAATGATAGATAGATTAGATAGAATGATAGATAGATAGATGGATGGATAGATAGATAGATAGATAGATAGATAGATAGATAGATAGAATGATAGATAGAATGATAGATAGATAGATAGATATAGATAGATAGATAGATAGAATGATAGATAGAATGATAGATAGATAGATAGAGATAGATAGATAGATAGATAGATAGATAGATAGATAGATAGATAGATAGATAACAGGATAGGTAGAATGATAGATAGATAGATAGAATGATAGATAGAAAGATAGATAGATACATAGATAGATAGATAGATAGATAGATAGATAGATAGATAGAATGATAGATAGAATGATAGATGGATAGATAGATAGATAGATAGATAGATAGATAAATAGATAGATAGATTTGACAGAAAGACAATAGACAGGTGATAGGTGATAGAATGAGATAGATAGATTGATAGATGACAGGATAGGTAATAGAATGATAGATAGATAGATAGATAGATAGATAAATAGATAGATAGATAGAATGATAGAGATAAAATGATAGATAGATTTGACAGAAAGACAATAGACAGGTGATAGGTGATAGAATGAGATAGATAGATAGACAGACAGTCAGTCAGACAGACAGACAGACAGATGATAGATGGCAGATGATAGATTGATAGACAGATAGACAGACAGGTGACAGTGAGAATGCGATAGATACATGCAAAATAGATAAATAGATGATATAGATTTGGTATGGAGACAGACAATGAATAGGTGATAGGTGATAGAATGAGATAGGTAGGTAGGTAGATAGACAGAGACAGAGATAGAGATGATACATGGATGGATGGATAGATGATAGGTGAAATAATGTGATAGATGATAGAAAGGTGATAGAATGTGAAAGATGGATTGATTGATAGATATAAATAGATGATGGATGGATAGGTAGATAGATAGATAGATGACAGGATAGGTAATAGAATGATAGATAGATAGATAGATAGATAGATAGATAGATAGATAGATAGATAGATAGATTTAGCAGTCAGACAGACAGACAAATAGACAGGTGATAGGTGATAGAATGGGATAGATAGATAGATAGATAGATAGATAGATAGATAGATAGATGACAGATGATAGATTGACAGACAGATGGATAACAGTGAGAATGTGATAGATACATGCATAGATAGATAAATAGATGATAGATAGATTTTGTATGCAGACAAACAATGAATAGGTGATAAGTGAGAGAGAAAAAAAAACATTGCCGGTACAAACTGTGGTTTTGATGTCCATTTTCTTTGTTTGCAGGATACGGCATTGTCTGATCTTGAAGTCTCTGTGTCAACACTGCGCAGGCGAGAAGGGAAGCAACAGAAGCTCCAAAGGTCCCAGTCGTGGGACTTGGAGGCTCGGGACAAAGCACGAGAAACATCGCCAAGAATGGCTGGGCACTCATGGCCACAACCGAACCGCTCGGCTTGGACACATTCTGAAAGAAACACAGAGTTTAACCACCTCTGATGAGGGAAGAGGGTTAGTAATTTCAGATGGCCTCCTCCTTCTCCTTCATATTTGTAGCCAAGCCTTGGAAAGTGAAATCTGCCACCTTCCCATCCTTTTCTTTCCTCTTGAAATGTTTAAGTTTCCAGGTTTTGCGGCTCACTGCTGAAGAGTAGGTGGAAGAGAGAGAGGGCAAAAGGTGGGAGATGGGAGTAGGGCAAATACGCACACCAGGTGCCTACATAGGAATGGAAGGCTGCCAAAAGGAACAGAAGGAGGCGTCAAATGTCTATGGAGATCCTCAATCATCCAGGACACGGTTGTCCCAAAGGTGCTTTTTCAGGAGGCAATTGGACTTCCTTGTTTCTCTCTGAAGACATTTCGCTTCTCATCCAAGAAGCTTCTTCAGCTCTGACTGGAGGGTGGGGAATGGAAGATGTAAATAGGCTATATCAGTGATGGCAAACCTTTTAGAGACCGAGTGCCCAAACTGCAACCCAAAACCCACTTATGTATCGTTGGGTGCCAGGTGGGTGTGGCCCATTGGGTGGGTGTGGCCCATTGGGTGGGCGTGGCTGCAGTGGTAACGGCAGACTGGGTGGGACTAAAAAGTTCAATCAATCAATTCCAACTTTGCGAGATCTTTTTTTCCTGCGAGAAGTTGAAATTGATTGATTGATTGAACCTTTTTTTTTTTGCACACACAGCGGCAGAGGCCTAAAGCGAAAAAGTATTATGAAATCCAGCTGAAGCTTTAGGACTGGGGTGATGGTGCGCGTGCTCTTACAGAGGGCTCTGCATGCCACCTGTGGCACGCGTGCCATAGGTTCGCCACCACAGGGCTATATCCTTCCCTCAATGACTCTCTAGAACAGTGTTTCTCAACCTTGGCAACTTTATGATGCGTGGACTTCAACTCCCAGAATTCTCCAGCTAGTGTTGCTAGCTGGAGAATTTGGGGAGTTGAAGTCCACACATCGTAAAGTTGCCAAGGTTGAGAAACATTGCTCTAGAAGAAGGCAAATGACCAGTTGTCTACAAGGAGTATAAATCTGTCCATCTGGTCAGAGCTGAGGAAGCTTCTTGGATGAGAAGCCGAACGTCTTCAGAGAAAAACGAGAAAGTCCAGTTGCCTCCTGAAAACGCACCTTTGGGTCAGAAGAAGTTGGCAACACTCAACTTGGCCAAGAACAGGAATTTTGGTGCTAAGAGTGATGCAGTACTTGAACCTTGCTGGTGCTGGGTCTTCCAAGGTCTTCTCCATCCCTCTGAGGGACCCAACACTCTTTATGTGGGACTCCACTTTAATGACCAACAAGATCATTTAACAACCTCAACTGGGAAAGCCAGGATTGCTATCATTCAGCAAAGGATTCTATTAGGATATTGAATTTGGTAGCTGGAACAGAAAAGTGTACAATAGGCCAGAACACACAATTGTAGTTGATTAATTAGAGAGTGATGACTCATGCATGAGGCAATCTACGCTATGATTGGTTGCTGTAGATGTAAAGGGGGAAATTTCTCTTTTTCCCCCTCCTTTTTTTCTTCTGTATTTGTTTTCTTGCTTATCTATAGTATGCAATAGTGGTGAATATCTGTAGCTAAGTGTAAGATGAGGGTGAAACTTTGTTCTCCGAGCTTGTGGGTTGGTTTCTGAATGTTTTACCAGGCTCAGTAACATCTTCAGTGGTATTTAGGGGATGTCTTTGTCATTACTCTTCTGTTTGTAAGGGCTTCAGGTGTGTCAAGTGAGGGTTTTGTGATTGGTCATGGGTGTGTCAAGTGAGGGTTTTGTGATTGGTCAGGTGTGATCATCAGAGAGACGCTTGTGATGGGTCAATGTAATGGGTCAATGTGATGAAATTGTTTGTGGAATGCCAGATTCGATGAACTCATGAGCATGGTGGGCCAATGAATTGGAGCAACACTAACACCAAACAGCACCAATTTGATTGGAGCAACACTAACACCAAACAACACCAGTTCGATTGGAGCAACACTAACACCAAACAACAGTTTGATTGGAACAACACTAAAATCGTCGGCCACACCACTACCTGCCATACTCGTGAGTTCATCGAAGCCCGGCACTCCCACAAGCCATTCCATCAACAGACACATTGAGCTACAACCAGCCTACAAATCTCTCAGAGTCCAAATCAACCTCACAGCCAATCGGAGACAGCACCAACCCATACAAGCCCCCTCCCCCTAGAAATCGACCTTCCGATGATGTAATCTCCCAATTACAAAACCTTCACTTGACACACCCACACCCAAAGCCTTTATAAACAGAAGAGCACTGACACAGACATTCCCTAAATCCCGCTGAAGATGTTACCTAGCCTGGTAACAAAATGTTTGGAAACCAATCCACAAGTTTGGAGAATGAACTTTCACCCTTGTCCATAGTATTCTCAGATGACCTCTCCAATATCAAATTTCAAAAGCTTCCATGCGATACTCTTCCTATACAAAGGGCCATTCAAAATAAAAAAAAAATATCTTGGAATTTAGGAGCATAATTCTCAGGACTTGCCTTTAGGGCAGAATTAATCCACGTGTCTGTTCCTGATAACCAGCATAGAGTGACATGAAATACCTCTCAAGGCCTGGTGCTATTAGCCTCAAAGCTCAGAGATGGTCATTTTGAAAATGAACCAACCAATCCGTGGGGCTCTATTGCTCCTTTTTTTGTGATCCTTAAGGAGAAGAGTGGAAAAGAAGTTCTCAGGATGCCCTTTCTGCTATTATTACTGTTATAACTATAGGTCACACCCTCAACACATCCCAGATGAATTGTAATGTGCTCTCCACAGGGGTTCTTTTGAAGGGCATCCAGAAGCTCCAGCTAGTGTAAAATAGTGATACAGGCACTTGTGTGTGCATCTAGATCAGTAGATGTTACACTTCTGCTCTTTGAGTTGTGTAGGTTACCAGTTTGCTTCCAAGTTGGATTCTTTCTGGTACAAAGCTAGCTCGCTCTCCTTGTGGCACATCTTGGGAAGCGCATGAGCGTGAACCAAACAGAGCTATCAAACTGACAGCCAAGTACTACTCTACATCAGCATTGTAGTCTCCTGGCTAATGTAACATCGCCGTCTGCTAAATAAATACATAAATGAAAACACTGTAAGCCACCCCAAGTCATTTATGAAGGAGGTTGGGTTTATATAAACAGAATAAATACATTTATAGAGAAATGTCATTTTGTATCGAGAAGTATTTTATTTCCGTCATTTCCTTAGAATTATTGAGTTGTACTACTGCCATTTTTACAGAGTCCGCAGTGCAGGGGTAGGCAGCCTTGGCTCTTTTATGACTCGTGGACTTCCAACTTCCAGAATTCCTGAGCCAGCCATGCTGGCTCAGGAATTCTGGGAGTTGAAGTCCACGAGTCATAAAAAAGCCATGGTTGCCTACCCCTGCCTTAGTGGGAAAGGTGATATGCAAGATTAGAGTGAGACCCTCACCTGCCGGGCCTGTGTTGCTTCCCCAAGGAGATCCAGCTCACTCAGAGGAGGGATGGAAAGGTCTACAAGCATGGGTCCTTCCATAGGAATGTGGCACTCAACCTGTACGGGACCTTTTATGCCTGGCTCAGCACTGAGATCAGCCCCAAAGAGAGCGACCACATGGAGCATGAACTGGGATAGCGTACCCCAAAGGTCCCCAATCCCAGCTACTCACATGGAACTATCCTCTCCCCCTTCCGCCAGTCTGCAAAGCCGGAAAGTTGGGGAACTTTGGCCTACCTTACCCTCAATTTCTATATGAAAAAAGATCTTTGCTTTCCCACCATTCCCATTGTCCTTTTCTTGTAATGCCGAGACCAAATGATCTAAATCAGAGATGTGAAAATTAAGGCCTGCAGGCCAGATCTGGGCCGTGATGTGTTTAGATCTGGCCTGCAAGTGTACTAGTAGGAGGAGGTGATTGAGTAGTTACTTCCTCGCTTCTTTGGGTGTCTTGTCAGTGGCAGCAGCGCTAGCAGAGGATGGGGCAGTGGGAGCCTCTCCAAGGTGTGGAGCTGTGTGGCAGTGGTAACTACAGGGGTGGGCAGGCATGACTAAAGCTCCCCCCTGCTTGAGAGTGAGTGGCTGGTGAGGGAAGGAAAAGATGGGAAGTGCTTGGGTCGGGTGTTTCTTCTGTTTTCACCCCTCTCTGCCTTGCCACCTTTCTTTCCTCCTCCATCTCTGCTGCACTTTCCCACAAGTAGTCGCTCGCCCTGAGTGAAATTGAGTTTGACACCCGTGATCTAAATGGCTGATTTTTCCTCAGCTTTGTGTTCCGTTCTTTTGAAGTTTCCATGGCGTTCCAGAGGCCTACGCTGGTGCTCGCCTGTCCCCTGCAAAGCTTCCTTTCCAGAGTCTGAGTAATTCTGTAGACCAGTGGTTCTCAACCTTTTTAATGCCGCGACCCCCAACTGATCGTAAGTCAAGGACTACCCAACCGGTCATAAGTCGAGGACTACCCAACCGGTCGTAAGTCGAGGACTACCCAACCGGTCATAAGTCGAGGACTTTCCCTGCCCAGGAGCGCCACACATGCGTGGTGCTGCCCCCTGCGCCGGCCGAGGCATAGCTGGCAAGTGGCAGAGACGGCGCAGGCTGACCACGGGCTGGGCCACCAGCTGGCCCAGCCCAAGGGAGGTAAGGCACCCGCCAGGCCCCACGCGTGCCAGCAACCCTCCCTGCGCCCGCCGTCCTCCCACCCCTGGCCCTCTTTTACTTACATTTTTAGTAGTTGCTCAGCAGGGAGGGGTGGAAGCTTCCAGACAGCTCGCCTTCGCTGCAGACAACTTGCAGCACCGTTTGCAGAATGGGATTTTTGGCGGGCTCATCAGGGCAGAGACAGCCTGGACAATTCCTATTGGCTTTTGAAAGCCAATAGAATTAGACTCTATTCAAAAGAGTCTATTCTATTGGCTTTCAAAAGCCAATAGAATAAAAGGGAGTAGCACAGCTAAGGAAAAGGGGAAAAAAATGGCAGACTGCGTTGTTTGGCGACCCCTGTGAAATGGTCGTTCGACCCCAAATGGGGTCCTGACCCACAGGTTGAGGACCACTGCTGTAGATGCTAAATCCAGATCTCCTCTAGGTAGAGTGCACGGCTCTGGAATCCCTCTGACCCATGTTGCCCTTCCATCAGAGCATTTGCTCCAGAGCACAGTGGCCACCCAAGGGAAGGGCTGCTCCTTCCACCTGATGTGGTCCCTACCCCATAGCCATAACGCCAATAATCCCAGTGAAGATGGTGGCCCTCCCTCTCTCAGCTGTCCACTATAATCGCTCCCCTCCCCAGGATGTTTCCCATCTTCCCAAATGGGGCAGGCTTAAGGTCATTTCCTGGTGGGTTCACACAGTACCACCCTCAAGAGAAGAAAGTTGTGTGTCTCCA